CATCAACAACTATATCAATAGTCAATTAATTTAGTGACCATGACATATTTTTCAGGTTCTATGAAAGCCATGCCTAAAACCCAGAAAATAATGGGAGAACAAGGTGCTACATTCCGTCATGCATTCAGTACCACTCCCATGTGTTGTCCTGCTAGAAGTTCCATCCTGACAGGGCTATATACACACAATCATAACACATATACCAACAATCAAAACTGTTCAGGACCACAGTGGCAACACGTACATGAACCTAGAACCTTCGGTAAATATCTACAAGACGTAGGTTATAATACAGGTATGTCATATCAGATTTTATTATTTTCTAGACACCTGATACCACTTTTCATTATGAAATACTAACTCACTTATAATTGATAAACTTCCTCATGTGAAAACTTTATTAGCTGTTACCAATGTTTGGATGTTAGTACTTGCTTTATTTAAATTTGTCTTATTTCAGTGTATTTTGGTAAATATGTAAATTTGTCTTATTTCAGTGTATTTTGGTAAATATGTTAATTTGTCTTATTTCAGCGTATTTTGGTAAATATGTTAATTTGTCTTATTTCAGCGTATTTTGGTAAATATGTTAATTTGTCTTATTTCAGCGTATTTTGATAAATATGTTAATTTGTCTTATTGCAGCGTATTTTGGTAAATATGTTAATTTGTCTTATTTCAGCGTATTTTGGTAAATATGTTAATTTGTCTTATTTCAGTGTATTTTGGTAAATATGTTAATTTGTCTTATTGCAGCGTATTTTGGTAAATATGTTAATTTGTCTTATTTCAGTGTATTTTGGTAAATATGTTAATTTGTCTTATTTCAGCGTATTTTGGTAAATATCTTAATTTGTCTTATTTCAGCATATTTTGGTAAATATGTTAATTTGTCTTATTTCAGCGTATTTTGGTAAATATGTTAATTTGTCTTATTTCAGCGTATTTTGATAAATATGTTAATTTGTCTTATTGCAGCGTATTTTGGTAAATATGTTAATTTGTCTTATTTCAGTGTATTTTGGTAAATACGTTAATTTGTCTTATTTCAGCTTATTTTGGTAAATATTTAAATGAATATAATGGAACCTATGTGCCACCAGGATGGAGTGAGTGGGTGGGGTTGGTACGAAACTCCAAGTTTTATAATTATTCGTTAAATTTTAACGGTCATATCAGTCGTCATTATGATAATTATTATAAAGATTATTTAACAGACGTCATAACCAATGATACAGTTACCTTTTTAAAACAGAGTCGTAAACTTCATCCTTCTAAGTAAGTATTTTAAACCTTATTCAGTATTCACGCTTCGTTTTTATATCCATTACCTCATCCATTGATAAAATGTCAAGGTCATATGAATAAATAGCCGTCATTAATGTTATGTGACGTCACACCTGATCTAAAACTGACCTTTCTCTGAAATATGAGAAGGTAAAATTCATCTAAAAGTATCATTAAATAGCTTAATCAATTCTGATATTAATGATGTCAAATATGATTAATTATCAATTAGTGAGGATGGAGAAGGGGGGGTTTTAAAAATGTCAAGGTGGCCTTTTTGACGTCATAAAATATACGCTCAACAGTGAGAAAATGAATTCTAATATTAATGATATAGAATATAGAGTTAGTGAGATTGGAGAAGGGGGTTTTAAAAATGTCAAGGTGGCCTTTTTGACGTCATAAAATACACGCTCAACAGTGAGAAAATGAATTCTAATATTAATGATATAGAATATAGAGTTAGTGAGATTGGAGAAGGGGGTTTTAAAAATGTCAAGGTGGCCTTTTTGACGTCATAAAATACACGCTCAACAGTGAGAAAATGAATTCTGATATTAATGATATAGAATATAGAGTTAGTGAGATTGGAGAAGGGGGTTTTAAAAATGTCAAGGTGGCCTTTTTGACGTCATAAAATACACACTCAACAGTGAGAAAATGAATTCTAATATTAATGATATAGAATATAATTAGTTTTGTGTTACTAGGATTGGAGAAAGATAATACCTGCATAATGTTTAAAATGAAATGAATGGAGTTTTACATCCTACTTTTCTACACCATGTGGGCTAATGAAGGTGGGCAACGCCATGCATTGTGCAATGAGGGAAATTTTTCCAAGACAGCAGCATTAGTCTGCTCTTTGTCGATTTCCAACTGTCGAGGGATCTTTAATGTGCACAGCCCGTAGCACACAGGGCCTCGGTTTATTGTCCCATCCGAAAAACTAGAAGCTTTTTCCATGTCAGAACCTCTTATCTGTATCACTGACAGGGGGAAACCTGGTTAAAATATTATCTCGACCAATGCCGGGATTGAACCCTGAAAAAATCAAATATTCTAACTCACTGAGCCACAGCTCTGGTCAGAAAGGTAGTCATTCAAATAATAAATCTATAAAACTAAGTTATAATTCATTAAACTAAGTAATAATTCATTAAACTAAGTAATAATTCATTAAACTAAGTAATAATTCTTTACACTAAGTAATAATTCATTAAACTAAGTAATAATTCATTAAACTAAGTAATAATTTATTAAACTAAGTAATAATTCATTACACTAAGTAATAATTCATTAAACTAAGTAATAATTCATTACACTAAGTAATAATTCATTACACTAAGTAATAATTCATTAAACTAAGTAATAATTCATTAAACTAAGTAATAATTCATTAAACTAAGTAATAATTCATTAAACTAAGTAATAATTCATTAAACTAAGTAATAATTCATTACACTAAGTAATAATTCATTACACTAAGTAATAATTCATTAAACTAAGTAATAATTCATTAAACTAAGTAATAATTCATTAAACTAAGTAATAATTCATTAAACTAAGTAATAATACATTAAACTAAGTAATAATTCATTAAACTAAGTAATTTTGAAAAATGTTTAGAAGTGTATTTCAATAATTATTTAGTTTAATAGATATATCATGTTATATAGAGATTCTATTGTTTAGTTATGACACCTGGTAAGTCTAACTGATAAATATATACTCTTATTGACCAAGTTTGAGATTATAAATTTTATGTCCATTCTAAGAGGTTGTATCTATTTAATTTCTGTGTAAATATGCCTACTAATGTATATAATATATTTTAGACCTATATTGATGGTATTGAGTGTCCCTGCCCCCCACGGGCCAGAAGATGCAGCCCCCCAATATCAACATATGTTTGAAAATAATCGGGATCACAGGTAAGTAAAGTTCAATTCGGCTGATATAGGTGGCGCTTGATTAGAGAGTTCTCAACAGGTTCTGTCTCTTTCAATTCTGTTAATTCTGTTCTAATATGTCAAATTCAAAATGTTCCCATGTATTTCTTTCTGCACTATTTTGTATGTTGTTTTCACCTACTGAGTTCTGAACTTGTTTTATTGAATGTTCTTTTCATTCTATAAATCCTGAATGTGCAGAACTTACCAATCGACTGCCCCTCTTTCTATCTAGACATTTAGCTACAGGTGGGTACAATTTTTTGGTACAAGTTTTTAACCAAACCTTCTTATATAACTTGTAATTAAATGTAATAATAACAAAAATATATTTTTTATGATGTTTTTACTGTAAGTAGGAAAACAGTTTGAAATAAAATGATTTAAAAAAAAACAAAACTTTGATTGTCATTTCCTAATCAAAACTTTTTTATTTCATTTTTATACGCCCACATCTCTCTCAATGTAAACATATATTGTCTGTCTGTCCGTCCGTCCGTCCATCAACATTTGCTTGTAAACGCTCTAAAAACTAGATTTTTTGATGGAATCAAATGAAATTCGATATGTGTATACATATTCAAAAAAAAACAAAGATCAAGTTCGAATTTGAGCTATTTTCGACTCTTAGAAGCAGAGTTATTGTCCTTGCCCCAAAATCTTGAATATTTACCATCCGCATGCCGTGGTGGGCGTATATGGCTGTGGTCTACTATCTTTTACAAATAATTTCCTTAAAACCATGAAAAAATACTAATAAATTAAAAATTGATATTTCATGACCTGGCAGGGCTTCTGATACAGCTGTATTTACCAGTCATGTCTGATTGAGGATGTAAAGTGACAGGTTGTACTTGTATTGATAAGGACATTTAATGCAATTTCTTCAAAAAGCCTAATAATTAAACAAAGCCTTGAAATCACAATCAAAGCCATTTCTAAATCTTTAAATGTGATTTGAAGGTTTTGTTGAAATATTTTTTGCCTTTATAAAAACTTCTAGGTATTAAGTCAAGATAGTGATTTAAAATGGTTGTGAACTATGTTCGTGTTATTTCATTGTAAAAACTATACGTAGTTTCGTTCCCCTTGTACCCTAACAATATTTACTCTATTTTCTGTTTTAACCTGATGTTTGGCTTGAAATGAATTATACTACAGAACTCCTAATTGGAAATTCACTCCCAATCCAGTTAAACAGTGGTTATTAAATAATGAAATGTTACTATATATTACAGAACTCCTAGTTGGAATTTCACTCCCAATCCAGATAAACAGTGGTTATTAAATAATGAAATGTTACTATATATTACAGGACTCCTAGTTGGAAATTCACTCCCAATCCAGTTAAACAGTGGTTATTAAATAATGAAATGTTACTATATATTACAGAACTCCTAGTTGGAATTTCACTCCCAATCCAGTTAAACAGTGGTTATTAAATAATGAAATGTTACTATATATTACAGAACTCCTAGTTGGAATTTCACTCCCAATCCAGATAAACAGTGGTTATTAAATAATGAAATGTTACTATGTATTACAGGACTCCTAGTTGGAATTTCACTCCCAATCCAGATAAACAGTGGTTATTAAATAATGAAATGTTACTATGTATTACAGGACTCCTAGTTGGAATTTCACTCCCAATCCAGTTAAACAGTGGTTATTAAATAATGAAATGTTTATTACAGAACTCCTAGTTGGAATTTCACTCCCAATCCAGATAAACAGTGGTTATTAAATAATGAAATGTTACTATATATTACAGGACTCCTAGTTGGAATTTCACTCCCAATCCAGATAAACAGTGGTTATTAAATAATGAAATGTTACTATATATTACAGAACTCCTAGTTGGAATTTCACTCCCAATCCAGATAAACAGTGGTTATTAAATAATGAAATGTTACTATATATTACAGGACTCCTAGTTGGAATTTCACTCCCAATCCAGGTAAACAGTGGTTATTAAATAATGAAATGTTACTATGTATTACAGGACTCCTAGTTGGAATTTCACTCCCAATCCAGATAAACAGTGGTTATTAAATAATGAAATGTTACTATGTATTACAGAACTCCTAGTTGGAATTTCGCTCCAAATCCAGATAAACAGTGGTTATTAAATAATGAAATGTTACTATGTATTACAGAACTCCTAGTTGGAATTTCACTCCCAATCCAGATAAACAGTGGTTATTAAATAATGAAATGTTACTATGTATTACAGGACTCCTAGTTGGAATTTCACTCCCAATCCAGATAAACAGTGGTTATTAAATAATGAAATGTTACTATATATTACAGAACTCCTAGTTGGAATTTCACTCCCAATCCAGATAAACAGTGGTTATTAAATAATGAAATGTTACTATATATTACAGGACTCCTAGTTGGAATTTCGCTCCCAATCCAGATAAACAGTGGTTATTAAATAATGAAATGTTACTATGTATTACAGGACTCCTAGTTGGAATTTCACTCCCAATCCAGATAAACAGTGGTTATTAAATAATGAAATGTTACTATGTATTACAGGACTCCTAGTTGGAATTTCACTCCCAATCCAGATAAACAGTGGTTATTAAATAATGAAATGTTACTATATATTACAGGACTCCTAGTTGGAATTTCGCTCCCAATCCAGATAAACAGTGGTTATTAAATAATGAAATGTTACTATGTATTACAGGACTCCTAGTTGGAATTTCGCTCCCAATCCAGATAAACAGTGGTTATTAAATAATACAGGTAGAATGTTACCTATACATCAGAAATTTACAGATTTATTACAGAGAAGACGACTTCAAACATTACAGTCAGTAGATGATCTGGTTCAGAAGGTAGGACTATATACTATACTACTCAATATTCTATTATTATAATTTATAATTTCTAATTCTGGATACATACTTAATAACCTATATTAATATTATAGGTTCATGAGGAGTTAAAAACACTAGGAGAGTTTGATAATACCTATACTATCTATACCTCTGATCATGGTTATCATCTAGGACAGTTTGGGTTAGTGAAAGGCAAGGCCATGCCCTATGAATTTGATGTTAATATTCCACTGTTAGTTCGTGGTCCTAACATTAAAAACAAGGTGGTGTAAGTATCAGCTTTTATTACATAAAAAACTTGTACGATTATAATACAGACAAACAATAGCAGAAAACATAAAGTCAATTGTCTTCTAATTTTAATTCCATTGCCTTTCTTTTAGCTGTACCTTCACCAGCTGTACCTTCACCAGTCACCAGCTGTACCTTCACAAGCTGTACCTTCACCAGCTGTACCTTCACCAGCTGTACCTTCACCATCTGCACCTTCACCAAATCTCAACAAAATAATGTCATTCCCAGATTAGGCCACACCAATTGTTTTATCAGGGTCTGTTGATTCTATTTTTATCTTTTCAGAATATCTAACATTGTAGCTAATATAGATTTTGCTCCCACCATTTTAGACATGGCTAATATCCCTGTTCCTAAACATATGGATGGACGTTCATTTCTCCCTTTATTAAAACAGGGTGTAACTAAAAACAGGTGAGTACAGTCCTTTGATAATTTATGCTGTGTTGGTGTAGATCCCGATCTGTAACCATGAAACAGACTATTTTCCCAATATGTATAATGAACTATCCATTGGCTATATTCCTATTTATGATGATATCATTTCAACTGGAAGCTATCAGAATCGCTGGGTAAAGTGTATAAACCTGGCAAAGGACTATTAAATGAATACCAGACAGCACTGATGATTTTCCCTCATTGCAAACTGCAATGTGTTGGGGGTTTTCATTAGAGCAATGATATAATGACAATTTTCTATTTTTTTTATATTTGTTAGTTTCCAAAACGATGATGAAGGTAATTATTTTGTAGACCTACATGATGAATGGAGAGATACTATTTTACTAGAAAGAGGGTGAGTAAATTGGTTTTAAAACTTCTGTAAGATTCTAGAGAGGAGTAGTATTAGGGGATGAGAGCTGACACAGTCACAGGCATCAGACTTCTTCTTACCTTGTGGAGGATTTGAACCTGTAGCACCTAATAACCTAGTAGACAATACTGGCTACCAACTGAGCTATTCCACTGCCACAAAAAGGAGAGAGTTAGAATTAACTAAACTGAAAGCATTCTATTTTCAACTATTGTTATTTCAGTAAATTGACAAAAAGTTTACTTGGTAAATATCGTGGTGATGCTATAGCTATTTCTAGAACACCCAAACAAATCAGACTCAGTAGAATCTGTGCTCGTCCTGATCGTCAAGCCCCTTGTAAACGTAAACAGGTAAACATAATATTTCATTGTCAACAATATTTCATTGTCAACAATATTTCACTGTCAACAATATTTCACATATTTCACTGTCAACAACATTTTACTGTAAACAATATTTCACTGTCAACAATATTTCACTGTCAACTATATTTCACTGTAAACAATATTTCACTGTAAACTATATTTCACTGTCAACTATATTTTACTGTAAACAATATTTCACAGTCAACAATATTTCACATATTTCACTGTCAACAACATTTTACTGTAAACAACATTTTACTGTAAACAACATTTTACTGTCAACTATATTTCACTGTAAACAATATTTCATTGTCAACAATATTTCACTGTCAACTATATTTCACTTTAAACAATATTCACTTTGTCAACTGTCAACTATATTTCACTTTAAACAATATTTCACTGTAAACAATATTTCACTGTAAACAATATTTCCTTGTCAACTATATTTCACTGTAAACAATATTTCACTGTAAACGATATTTCACTGTAAATAATACTTCACTGTCAACAAAATTTTACTGTCAACTATATTTTACTGTCAACTATATTTCACTGTCAACTATATTTCACTGTGTCAACTGTTAACAATATTTGACTGTAAACAATATTTGACTGTAAACAATATTTGACTGTAAACAATATTTCACTGTCAACTATATTTCACTGGAAACAATATTTCACTGGAAACAATATTTCACTGTGTCAACTGTAAACGATATTTAGACTTTGTCAACTGTCAACCATATTTCACTTTAAACAATATTTCACTGTAAACAATATTTCCTTGTCAACTATATTTCACTGTAAACAATATTTCACTGTAAACGATATTTCACTGTAAATAATATTTCACTGTCAACAACATTTTACTGTGAACTATATTTTACTGTGAACTATATTTCACTGTCAACAATATTTCACTGTCAACTATATTTCACTGTCAACTATATTTCACTGTGTCAACTGTTAACAATATTTGACTGTAAACAATATTTGACTGTAAACAATATTTGACTGTAAACAATATTTCACTGTAAACGATATTTCACTGTAAACAATATTTCACTGTCAACTATATTTCACTGGAAACAATATTTCACTGTAAACTATATTTCACTCTGTCAACTGTAAACGATATTTGACTGTAAACAATATTGAATGATATTTTGACTGTATTTATTATAACAGAGATATTACTGTGTAAAAGAAAATGATAAATGGTATAAGAAGAGGTGTCGATTACCAGCTGATCAACCCAGACATTGTGTTTGTCCTCCTGGTAAACAGAAAGCTATGAAAAGAGAAAGAAAGAAACAGAGAGAATTTCTACATAAATTTGTAAAACAGAAAGGTTTGTGGGATAATTTTGACCAGCTCATATCTCTAGTTTCCTGCCAACTTCAACCTAATATAATTCAAATTAGATCACAAGTTCATTTCTTTATTATTTTCTGATATTTTCAATCTACATTCCAGTCTAGATAGATTTCTACTAATGGTCTGTCCCAATGGTAGTATTTGTACCCAATCAAAGCCTGTCATTATATTATACTGTCATCCCGTATGATCTAACCTGTGACGGCTCCAGATTCGAGTAAAAAGTAAAAACTGATGCCAAGAAATAATAGCACAAATGTGGAATTACAAATATAGTATAACCATAGTAGGACATGAATAATGATCATTTTATGTAATGTCTTGCTTTCAGATTTTCGACCAAGATTTATAAAAAATACACGAAATAAACGTTCAACAATTCAAAATCTAGCTTATGGTAATTCAGGGATAAATATAAAAAGTTCCCGGGAAAGAGATACTTCTCTTGGTAAGTCTATAATATACTATCTCTTTTATATCAATAACAGTATTTATAATAGTGATATCATAAAACACTTAGTAATAGTGGAACCACAGACATCTGATATAAAATTAGAATGATGTAAATTGATACTATCAGTGTCTCTGATATATATACAAAATTTAGAAAACCTCTTTACAATCACTTTAACAAGAACCACAGACATCTGATTGAAAATTGTAATGATGTAAATTGATGCTATCAGTGTCTCTGATATACATACAAAATTTAGAAAACTTCTTTACAATCATTTTAACAGTTATGAGTAATTTGAAATTCTGATATGATATAGAAAGCCAATGAAACAATCCAGTAAAAACTTAGTTTCTTCTTGTAGATTTAACTCAGGCCCTGTGTGCTATGGAAAATAGCAGGCTAATTTCCCTCATTGCACACTGCATGGCATTACCCATTTTAGCCCACATGGTGTATAAAAGTAGGGCTCAATTCATTTTATTTTATTATTATTTTATATGTCTTATTTGTAGATTTGTTTGAAAGACGATGTAGAATTTTAACCAATCAAACCATTCAGTGTGATGATGAACTGTATGAAGATGAGACAGCATGGAACGAACATAAAATGGAGATAGACGGATTAATCAAGGAATTACGCAAAGCTTTAGAAGATTTAAGAGTAGGTGGTGAAATAATAGTTTTATTGTGTTTCTCTTTCTGTTGGTTTTTGTGGTTTGGAGTGTAAAATGAAACTGTATGTCAACATGTAGAGGAAGTTTCAGGTTATACCAGCACCAAACTATTGTAAAGCACCTTAAACTGAAAAATAATAATAACAGACTTGTCTGGAATTGTAGACATGAGAATAAGTTCTATTTCAGTTGAGATGCAAGCTGAATTATATAGGTCAGTTGACTGAAGATAGCATAGCGTCAAACTCTTCAGTAGGGACATAGGCTGAAAATAGGTCAGTTGACTGAAGATAGCATAGCGTCAAACTCTTCAGTAGGGACATAGGCTGAAAATAGGTCAGTTGACTGAAGATAGCATAGCGTCAAACTCTTCAGTAGGGACATAGGCTGAAAATAGGTCAGTTGACTGAAGATAGCATAGCGTCAAACTCTTCAGTAGGGACATAGGCTGAAAATAGGTCAGTTGACTGAAGATAGCATAGCGTCAAACTCTTCAGTAGGGATGCAGGCTGAAAATAGGTCAGTTGACTGAAGATCCCATAGCGTGAAACTCTTCAGTAGGGACATAGGCTGAAAATAGGTCAGTTGACTGAAGATAGCATAGCGTCAAACTCTTCAGTAGGGACATAGGCTGAAAATAGGTCAGTTGACTGAAGATAGCATAGCGTCAAACTCTTCAGTAGGGATGCAGGCTGAAAATAGGTCAGTTGACTGAAGATAGCATAGCGTCAAACTCTTCAGTAGGGACATAGGCTGAAAATAGGTCAGTTGACTGAAGATAGCATAGCGTCAAACTCTTCAGTAGGGACATAGGCTGAAAATAGGTCAGTTGTCTGAAGATAGCATAGCGTCAAACTCTTCAGTAGGGACATAGGCTGAAAATAGGTCAGTTGACTGAAGATCCCATAGCGTGAAACTCTTCAGTAGGGACATAGGCTGAAAATAGGTCAGATGTCTGAAGATCCCATAGCGTGAAACTCTTCAGTAGGGACATAGGCTGAAAATAGGTCAGTTGACTGAAGATCCCATAGCGTGAAACTCTTCAGTAGGGACATAGGCTGAAAATAGGTCAGTTGACTGAAGATCCCATAGCGTCAAACTCTGAGTAACAACATGATTTTTAGGTTACTGTTTTAATATTTCTATAGAATATTCACTGTTTTAATATTTCTATAGAATATTCACTGTTTTTATATTTCTATAGAGTATTCACTGTTTTAATATTTCTATAGAATATTCACTGTTTTCATATTTCTGTAGAATATTCACTGTTTTCATATTTCTATAGAATATTCACTGTTTTAATATTTCTATAGAATATTCACTGTTTTAATATTTCTATAGAATATTCACTGTTTTAATGTTTCTATAGAATATTCACTGTTTTAATATTACTATAGAATATTCACTGTTTTAATATTTCTATAGAATATTCACTGTTTTAATATTTCTATAGAATATTCACTGTTTTAGTATTTCTATAGAATATTCACTGTTTTAATATTTCTATAGAATATTCACTGTTTTAATATTTCTATAGAATATTCACTGTTTTAATATTACTATAGAATATTCACTGTTTTAATATTTCTATAGAATATTCACTGTTTTAATATTTCTATAGAATATTCACTGTTTTAATATTTCTATAGAATATTCACTGTTTTAATATTTCTATAGAATATTCACTGTTTTAATATTTCTATAGAATATTCACTGTTTTAATATTTCTATAGAATATTCACTGTTTTAATATTTCTATAGAATATTCACTGTTTTAATATTTCTATAGAATATTCACTGTTTTAATATTTCTATAGAATATTCACTGTTTTAATATTTCTATAGTATATTCACTGTTTTAATATTTCTATAGAATATTCACTGTTTTAATATTTCTATAGAATATTCACTGTTTTAATATTTCTATAGAATATTCACTGTTTTAATATTTCTATAGAATATTCACTGTTTTAATATTTCTATAGAATATTCACTGTTTTAATATTTCTATAGAATATTTACTGTATCTTCAGGTAATAAGGAGACATCTGAAAACTGAGAAACCAGATCTTGATGAGTTTGGAACAGAGCAGGATATTTTACTTACAGATTCTATATTTCATGGTTTTGGTCAGAAGACAGAAGATGAAGATTGTGTATGTGAAGACAGTGTCTCTAACAGGTCATACATTATTCTAGCTTTCAGGATTTCTTACTCCCCCTGTTAATGGTGCAGATCAGAGTTGCTGACATGGAAAACACGTGTAGTCTTTCAGATGAGACAATAAAAAAGGGTTTCATTTGCTGCAGGCTGTAACAGGATTTGCTTTCTTAAAGTTACCAGCAGTTAATAAACTTTTCATATGAGGAAGTATATCAATTGTAAGTGAGTAAGTATTTCATAGTGGAAAGTGGCATCAGGTGTCTGTATGTATATTTTCAGACCAAACCGAAGAAATGAAGTAAACAACAGAAGAATGAATCGATTCCATCCTAAACTAAATAAATTANAAC